CCTACCTACCCCGCCAAAATATGGGTCGTGTTGGGATACCCCCTAGACCCTAAACCCCTTAGGGTTTGGGGTTTAGGGTTTAGGGTAGGGAGCCTTTCTGCCCCTCCTCAGTGACAACCAGCAAGCGATCCCAGTCAGCACTATCAGAAGCTCCAAAAACCCAAAATGTTTTGGGTGCTAAATACAATTGATATATTTTTGTGTTTGGGCCCTGAAACCATATTATTTGGATCCTTGCAAGGACGCGTAGATTACTGCACTGGACACCAACTATGCGACCATTGCAGCTGGGCAAATGGGCATTTACAAGAAGAGAAGTTCCCCAACGCACGCCTGTCTTAGGGACTCGCAAAACACGGACCCCTGGTTAAGAGAACAGCCCATATGAGCTATGGCCTAAACTCCGAGTATCCCCTTTAATGACCCCTATAATGCTCCCCCATATAGTCCCCTATATAAACCCCTTCAATCAGGTAGGACTACAGCCCATATCAGCCTGAACGCGCAAAAGAAAGCCCTCCAGCCACCTCGCCCTAACATCCTTTCACCCTCATCTACTGATGCTGAAGGAGTGAAAACCCTGCCTCATGCCATATCAAGCACCAGTAGCTGACTCTTTGTTTAAGTATCTTTCTGGTGCTTAGTAGGGAATGGAGGAATGGATAGGGACTACAATACTATCCAGGACAACTGCTCGACCACTACAGGGAACCGCTCCCTAAATCCCCACCACTAAATGCTAAATGTTTAGGGTTTAGGGTTTAGGGAAACCCTAAACCCTAGGCTCTGAACCCTTAACCCTAAGCCCTAAACAGTAGTTTCCATGTTCTACTCCATTTCCTACTCAGCACCTCTGAGCACCAAGTAGTTCTTGGCAAGTGACGTTGGGAGCTCTTGCCCCGAAACCGTGGCGAAATGGCCTCTGAGCCCAAGCGCCTGGCAGCCTGAGGAGGGTTTGGGGTTTAGGGTTTAGGGTTTAGGGTTGCTGCTAGAAGGAATTTGGGGACTAAACAATGAAAACAAGGGTTCCGGGTTTAGGGGTCAAGGGTTAAGGGAGAATCGAAGTAGGGGTTTACAGGGTTTATCCTGGTAATCACTTGCCATCCATTTGATATCTAAGTGAGGTATTCTGTTCCATGATAAACGAAATCTGGACCCATGATGTTGGTATTTCTCTTCAGACTTCTACACCGCTCCCTCTTCAAACTAGAGCGCCTCAGCCTCCAGCAGCTAGACATGGCATTGGTGCTTGGACCACCATGCTGCCGTGGCGGTTTAATGGCTTTACATTGCTGCTTTTACGTATCAATTAACCTCCTATTCAACGCAGGCAAGTGGACTTACAGGTAGAGCGTCAGGATTCGGAATTAAGCTTCCTAGGGACCATGTAGGGTTGGGGGTTGAGGATTTAGGGGCGTTGACCAGAAGGCTCGCGTTTCTTGTAGGTTCGTTGGGGGGATGTTGAGTTTAGGGCTTCGGGCAAAGGGGTAGCTGTTGGTAAGATTGGAAGTAATTATGGCTCTCCCCCACTCTAGGCCCTAAACCCTCAACCCAAATTACCTTACCTCAAGAGCCCTGAGCAAGGAAATTCGTGGCATTTATCAAGGGGAACATTTGATTACTGGGCTTGGGTGTTCGAACCACTTGGTCTTGTATTCTTGCTATAGAGCCGTCAGCTCAAAGAGAATCATCATGATAAAGCATGCGAACACAGTTCTGCCTTTCTACATGCACGGTCTACCCTCGGAAACCTGACTTGGGCCAAAAGCGCATCGGGCGGCATGTTCTTCGCCTAAGCGCAAGGTCTGACCTCAGCAGCCCTGCAAGTTGCAAGTTAGTAAGTTGCCCGCAAGACTATATCTGTCCACACGACGGTCTCTAAACTGCTGCCAAGCGACGCAATGCTGCAAGGCCTGCTCCTTGCTGCCGTCGTTGCCCGGGAGCTTCCACTCATTGTCGATGTCCCAGCCCTCCAGCATTATTTTTAGCCTGAACCCGCAGCAGGGAACCAGCAAACAGAAAATCAGAGTGAGACATGAGGACCGCGCAGCCATGATGGCGGACAAGTCCCCGTTGACGGGCACGCAGAACTTCTCGCAGATTTTCTCGCAGTACTGCAAGAAGCCCTTCGCCGGGTAGGTCTTTGGCGTGTCCATGGCCTGCGGCCGCACACAACACGCCGTCGAACGCGCAAGACTCAATACGCTACAGCAACTACGTTGGACAGAGATGCAGCATGGGCGAGCGTGGCCAGAGTCAGCGCCACATTGATTGACCGCGCGTCGCCCTTCTTGATGGCCAGAACTGTCACAGGGAGGAAGTAGACCTGACTGGATATTCTAAATATTTTAGATGACTGACACCTAGTCAACGCTGACCTGCCACTCATAGGGGGCGGTAAGAAGACCTCCCCACCTTTGCTTTCTAACAGGCTCAGAGTCCCAACGCCTTCAGGGCGGCAAAAAAAAAACTCCACACCCAAAATACACTGATTCCTTTGAGGGTCTTCTACTACTTGCACTACTTGTGTTGGTGCTCTTACTACTACTGAGTACTACCCCAACCCCTGATACATGATTGCAAAAAAAAAACGTCGCATACAAGTTTGACTTTTTGGGAG